CGCAGAAGAGGAGTGTGGGTTTGGTTTGCCATGGCAACGGCCTGCCGCGAGTCAGAGCCCCCTGGGAGATTTTCCGAGGGCAGAAAAGCAGCCTCAGAAGGAGACGGGAGGCGACTTCAGATTAATTTTGGTTACCGGCATGAATAAGTAATGGGGTGTGAAAACTGCTGGAAAAGCCGGACCCGGTATAATAGGAAATACAGACATTCAGGGGGGATTCGATCTGTGCGCAGGTCCAGACCAATCAGGGTGTGCGGGTGGAGTACAGGTCAAACCTTGCAGTTCAGATGTCACCGGTCCGAACCTGGGTCAGGATTTCAAGATCTAGCTGCTGGGCTCAGGGCCGTCCATAAGGTGTAGAGGACTGGAGCAACTGAGGTACAGCACCTCACTCAAGATACAACAGCAGTGTCTGCAGCAGGGGGTCGCACCCACAACCCGCCAGCGACAAGACCAGAGACTCACTACGCTATGCCTCCCCCCTGGGTATATGACAATTATAAAAAAAACAGTGTGGCTAAATTTATAAAGGAAAAATAAACAAAGCACCATGAATTTTATGCTCTTCATTTAAAAAAATCGAGCCACCCAAACCCTCTACAGGCACGAGAGCACAAGACTTATAATGTCGGCACTTTTGTACATCTGCTCTGTTTCGAACAGCACGATCGCGAGCTGGTGTTGCCTACAGAGTTGGGCTGCAGAAGAGCTGGGCGATGTTTTGCGTTTCCCCCCCCGTCTACAGCTGCCAATCCAAGAGCCAAGTCCAATCCAGGGCACCCCCCCCCACCCCAATCCCCGAAATCATCCAGCCAGGCAGGGTCAGCACTGTTGGGCCAGGCAGCGCAAGCCGAGAGGCGGTGAGGAGCGAGAGAGAAGTCAGGTGGGACGTGGGGGGAGAGTGAGAGGACGAGGAGGGGGGGTGGGGTTGTCAGGGAGCGATCTTGCGATAAAAACCTTTCATGACATTAGGAGCTGTGAGGTTCCGCGAGCAGATCATTGAGATCATTGCGTGAAGCCTATCTTCCTCCTCCTCATCTTCATCCAGAGAGGGCGCGCGACTGCCCGTCACGTGGTGGTAGTTTATAGTGACTGCTCGGGCAATAAGAGAACACAGTTTAGCACGCTGGAAACAGCAGACACACGCAGACACACACACACACACGTTTCCTCTCCTGTCTATGTGGGAACTTACCACCCATCTCCAGCACTGATTGCAAGGGGCACTATAGCAAATAAAATATTCAGTATTTATCATCACTTTCCACCCTGCCACAATCCAGCTCAACAAGGGATGAAAGTAAACTTGAACCAAAGCTTTAGCATTTTTAGATTTATAAAAAAATAGGTATATGAAAAAGTCATTTCCACTGGGTGGGTGTTCCCACTTAATCTGCCAGGAGGATATTTTTTCCAATTCTACCCCACATGGGCAATCAAACATACCCACACACACTTATGTACAGGAATACACCTGTTGCCTTACAGTTGCCCAGATAAGAAAAGGGTCTAATCATAAACAGATTCAGCTCCTTTTTTTTGTATTAATCATGAACAATCGAGAAAAAGCAGAAAAACCAACCTTTTAAAACTAAGAAGCAACATGCTGTGCATCCTCCTCCCTACATTTCCTATCAGCTTGCCCTTTTCAGAGGTCTATATGCATGACCTCATCGTATAGAGACCATGTGGGCACAGAGAAGAACACACCCCTGGTGACCAGGAGGCCTACTCACCACCCCAGGCTGAGTTACAGGTATCATCCTGTACTGTGCTTGAAGTGGAAATCCTCCCACAACCTAAGCAAACTTAACGTTGGTAGAAAGTCTGACGGAAACAGTCCTGTGTATTAGTTTAATGCTCGGTGAAAAATAATACAGCTGAGAAGCACTGTCGGGGAAGATACATTTAAAGCTATATCTATAGTGGCCTCACTTTGTTGCAAATGTATTCTTATTAACTGATCCCCTGTACTCAGAGAAGAGCAAACACAGAGCTTCAAAATAATTGGAAGGGGAAAAAGCTGAATTTTTTAATTAATTTTAATTTTTTGGGTTTTATCTCAACTCAAGTTCTTAACATACATGATTAAAAATGTAATATTAGCAGCATTAGTTTGGATCAATATGAAGGTTTAATTAAAACTGTATAAATAAGTTGATTGCACATATAACATGCTGATTTGCAGCAGCGTCCAGTGCAATGTTATATGGATGTGTCGTATTCTGGAAACTGCCGAGTGCTGAGGAGCATGAGTTCACCAGGAACAATTAAAAATGGATCGTATAGGTTACAGTCAGGAGTGTTTTTTTATCCAACATGATTTATTTCTTGTTCCAGAGTTACGAGTTAATTTAGTTTGATTAGTAAATCATTAAAATGTGCCGGGTCTCAACAAGATATGTTGATATGTCTCTGTGCAAGACTCAAAATGACAGACATGCCGGTACGGCATTCTGGACAGTACTGGCCCAGTTCAAGCACTGGACATGCATCTACCAAGAAGAATTCGTACACAGGGTGCAAACAAAGTTGCACAGTTTCCAGATCTACAGATCAGGATCTATTTCTGCCTCCTGTATGGCTTCCATCTGGGGAATGCAGTCGTGGACTAAAACACGAGTGAGAAAACTCTGAAAAGAGACACTTTCCCATCACCGCAGAACAGGCAGCACAGCAGCCTTGAGGGAAATGGCAAAAACCATCAGCTTTCATCAACGCCTCCCACAATCATCAGATAGCTGCCAGTTCCTGCCAAGGGCTGTGGGAGTCTGTTCCGGATGGACGCGAGTAGGGACTGCATCCCTGTCGACAGCACGCAAACACACACTCAGGTAGCTCTGGGGATACCAATTAATCTAGACAGCAAGTTTTGGGGAGATGGGAGGAAACCAGAGCGCACAGCAGAAACCCATGTGGACCTGGGGCAGAACACGCAGACTCCACCAGAAGGTGCCAGGCTCGACTCGTACCCACAATCCATGTACAGGAAAGGCAAGCACCACGTAATAGTTAACAACCCCCAACACCCCGCCAGAAAAAACATAAGGACCCCAAGAGTAACACATGTTCTCTGGATTAAATGATCCGTCGGTGCTAGCCTCTGACATAGGGTGGCAGTCACACGTCACAGGGCGAGAGCTTACTGGATTCGTGGCGGTGTCCTGGATAGACGATCCGAAAGACGTAGTCAGCAGCAATCTCCTCCTCCCCGCCTGTGTCCCGTGGCTCTCCCAGCCTCGTGGTGCTGTTCCTCCTCCGCAGCTTGGGAAACACTTTGCCCTGAAGTCACATACACAGATAAAGTCCCATTCACCCATCCATTTTCTAACCGATTCTTCCAATACAGAGTCACGGGGGAGCTGGGAACCTATCCCAGCAAGAAATGGGGATGAGGCAGGGTATACCCTGGATGGGACAGGGCAGGGAAGAGGCCAATTAACCTCCCAGTATGTTTTTGGCCTGTGGGAGGGAACCAGAGAACCTGGAGGAAACCAACATCTGTAAGTTCTGCTTCTTAGCACACCCCATCAATTATAACCATAGCCCTATCTGTGGAAGGTATTGTACTGGAGTTTCAATCAAAATTGAAGAATTTGGGAGTAATATTTGATCCAGGCTTGACGCCTGACCCACACGTGCAACATATTGTCAAAACATAATCCTTCCACCTCAGAAATATCAGCAGACTACATGCTATGTTGTCACTAAACGTTGTGGAAAGGCTGGTCAATGTTTGCTTTTTCTTGTTTCGACTACTGTAACGCCCTGCTCACAGGGGTATCTAAATCTACATTGATCAAGCTATAGTATGTTCGGAATTTGGCAGCCAGATTCCTGACCAGGTCTAGTGCAAGTATTCACATTACTCCTGTCCTGGAGTCCTTGCACTGGCTTCCTGTCAGTTTTTGCGTCGATTTCAATCCTGTTGCTCACCTACAAGGCTCTGCATGGCTTGGCATCTCAGCACCTGTCTGAGTTAATATTCACTCTGTGGGTGACAGAGCCTTCTCCTGTTGCACTCCAAAGCTCTGAAACTCTATCCCTAAAGATATCGGAGAGTCACCTTCCCACAGCTCCTTTAAATCTAGACTGAAAACCTTTTCTAGCAGGGTTTTTATAAAACTGGTTCTGTGTGCCCCTTGGCTGTCCTACTGCATTCCACACCCCCATCTATTATCTCCTCTCAATGTGTATTTTTTTTTGTTGTTCTGTAAACTGCTTTGAGAAGCCACTTTTAAAGGTGCTACATAAAAGACAGACAACATTCTATGATAATTCTAATTGAAAACTGCAACAGGCACATGTGCAACATGTACAAACCCAATAAATTGAGATTTTCTCTTTAACAGGACAGTACCTGTCTCCACAACAAAAAAATATTTTCCAGACATAAGTTCAAGAGAACATTTTCTCCTCCTTTAACACAGAGAATGAGGACCTTTTAGCATAGACAACTGCAAATATATTGTTCAACACAGCCTGATCTAAGAACATAAAAAAGCACTGTGATTCTGACATCGCGGCTCAATTTTTAACAGCCTACTGTAGCTTTTGTCAAAACCCAACCTGTCTAATCCACTGATCAGTTCTGTCGTAGTTCACGAACTCAGTGGTTTATAAGATGACAGGCACCATCCCTGGAGACTTGGCATCCCTGCACAACACAGCCACACACTGCTCTGCTACATCTGAACTGTCAGTCAACAAACAGTCAACTGCTGCTGCCAGTTTCTCCGCGTGCAGCTAAACAGAGCTGTGATTCATCAGCCTCTTCGAGGGCTTTCACAAATCATTCTAATAATAATAATAATAAATATAAATATAAGCATAATAATAGCGTACACTTATATAGTGCCTTTCTGGACTCTCCACTCAAAGCTCTTTACATCCCCTCCACCACCACCAGTGTGCAGCCCCATCTGGATGACGAGACAGCAGCCATAGTGCACCAGTACGCTCACACACCAGCTCTCAGTGTGCCAGTTCAGCCAGTTCAGAGATGGGGATTATTAGGAGGCCATGATTGGTAAAGGCCAGGGAGAAATTGGGCCAGGATGCCGGGGTTACACCCCTACTCTTTTCAAGAAACGCCCTGGGATTTTTAATGACCACAGAGAGTCAGGACCTCGGTTTTACGTCTCATCAGAAGGACAGCGCCTGTTTACAGTATAGTGTCCCCGTCACTATACTGGGGGATTAGGACCCACAGAGACCGGCCCCTGCTGGCCCCTGGTCAGTACCTGGAGGTCTCCCCTCCAGGTACTGACCAGGCTCACACCTACTGAGCTTCAGTGGGCTGCCAGCTGCGAGTTGCAGGGTGACATGGCTGCTGGCATCATTTTTATTAATCCCCTCGAAACCAAGCAAAACTGTGGGCCAACGTGAAACAGAGAAGACGAACTGATGGAATAGGACTGAGAGGGAGAGAACAGACACGAGTGTAACGCAGAGAGTGTTCGAGCCAGGGAAAGCTAATTAAACTGCAGTGACAGTTTGTATTTGTCTCTGATTTGCCAAGCGGAGCTGATAACATAAGGCAACGTTTTTAAAATTGAGGCAATTTTCATCCGCATGGCTTTCTTGCCTGGGTAATTAGCCTAATGACTAAGAGCAACTCTCAGAGGCCCCAGCTGCTTCCCCGCTACCCTGACTTCCAATCATTTGCAGCATCAAGGCAAACGTGAGTGCTTTCTGAAGCTGCTCCAGATGTCACGATCTCCTCACCGGAACAGATCCTCTTCAGCGTTACTGATCCTTCAGCATGGGACGACACAAACGTACTTGATCTAAGAGTTTCAGGAAAGCCAAAGGATTCTCCCCGTCTCTTCCAAAAGAACATCTTACACCTTGTGATGAACTTTCATCAGCCTACAAGAGCACGACAAGAAACACCACAGTGGGGGCAGGAGGCAGCATTAAAGTGATGCAAAGCAGAATGAGCGATACTAGGCTTTTAAATCCTTTCTGCGTTTCCCACCCCACCTTACGCCTCCGGCGTGGAGCTGCTCTGAAATCCGATCAGCTCTGGGGTGCCCGTGTGGGTGGTGTTCACACGCCCACGCTGTGCCTGTGATCGCAGCCGAGCTGCCCTTACCTTGCCTCGCTGGGACCACAGGGGGGGCTCCAGCTGCCCACGGGGAAGCAGACCGCTCTCCAGGCAGGAGAGGAAAGCCAGGAGGTGCCCCCCGGGGGGGAAGTGCAGGGGGGGGCGCTGGATTCCATCCTGGCTCACCAACACCAGGGTCCCGCCACAGTCAGCTGGGGCAGAGGGAGAGGGGGCTTTTAATTTTCAGGGATGCGAGTGGACAGTCATTTGGCTCTTTTGTTTCAGCTCAGCGTGAATAAGACAGGATTTAACTGAGGAGGTGTGTGCAAAGCTCTGTGTGCAGGTTACCTGCCCCCTCCCGATTCAATCTGATGGGGAAAAATTAACCAGCGTCTACTGAGCACAGTTCCCAAATCAACAATAAATATAAGGCATCTGTCCCTGTAAAACACAGGGAGCAGCACAGGAGTGAGCTTCCTGCGATGAGGGGAAAACGGATTATGGGCTGGTGAAGAAAGACAAGCTGTCCTGATGGTCTGGGCTACTTACGTCGTTGATGGCAGTGGATGCAGACAATCTGTCGCAAAGGCACAGTCAGGGCATAGTCCCAGTAAATACTGTCAGAAGAAGAACACTTGGATCAGAGGCAAGAACGTTTCCACGGCAAAACACAGGCCAAGGTCTCTGATCAAGCTGGGTTCGTAGTGCTACGCTTTAGTTTCCATGTCCAACAGGAAGTGTGCACTGGACACACTGCCCTCTGCACAGCCCGTAATGGGCTTCCACCCTCTAACCATTAACAGAACAAATACATCCATTTAGTACAAAGAATAAACTAAGTAACAAAGTTAAGCCAAGATTACAGAATTATAATCAAGCTTTGTAACTAGAATAGTCAACGTATCGGTATGCCTACTGGAAGGGGCTATTGAGTTGTCTGGTCTCTTTAAGATCAGATAAGATCACTTTTTTAGCCATATACAATTTCTTGCATTAGGAATTTATTTTCGCATACCCCAGCTTGCTCTCCGTGAGACACACAGACAGGGAGAGAAGCTTGGGGTCAGAGGTTTCTCACAAAGTTTTCATCTCAATAACGAGGCCAACAGCCTCCAGTCCAGAAAGTATAGCATGTCAAGAGCACGTCCGCACAGAGTGGAAACCAGTGAACACAAGGCGTTCAGTAAGGCTGTTCAGTAAAGGCCATGCTCGTGAAGGTACCGTACCTCTTCTCCAGATCACAGTCTCCCAGGGTCCCATTGATTAGCTGGTTGGGCGTCCACTTCAGAGTGAGGTTCTCTGCAGCCTGGTGCAGTGACAGGTAACCACGCAGGACCTCCATGTCTTCTTTCTGGGCGGGACAGAGACAGACTCAGGTGAGGGACAGTTTGAGTGCTTGTCTCCTAGGCACCGGGAGAGAAAGAGGGCAGAGTGGCGCTGTGTGCATCTCTCTGCTAGAAGAAAGAAATAACATCGAGAGCTCAATCAACGCCCACTGAAATAGTTACATGCGAGTACAGTCCGGGCACGGCAAGCTGTCCTGTTTGGGGGGGGGAATGGAGGCATTCAGGCAGTGGAGAGCAGTGGTCAGGTCTCAGATCTCAGAACAAACAGCCCAATTCCAATTGCTTGGGGTCAAGCCTGTGTAATGGGCTAGTCTGTGGCTGAAAGAGCCCATTACAGAAGGTGACATCACCCCCTCGGGACCTGGGGCTGAGCTGCACTCACACTCACTATAAAAATAAGCACGAACACTGCTGTGGGGGGTGAACATGGGATGGGCTACTACGTTATAAACAGGGCGTTCTATACTTCCTTTTATACTTGTTTTATGTCATAAGCAATGCATAAGCCCTGACCCAACATATGACACCACAAACAGAAACTGGGATTCAGGGCCTTAGCGTTGCTTAAGTGTTGCTTAAGCTAATGAAGGACCTAAATGCTTCCTGACTGAGCTCACCGGTTGCACCAGCACGTTGTTCTTGCCATAGAGCAGGTGGGTGCGCGAGTTCTGGTGCAGGGACTCCACGTATTCCCGCGCGGACGCGGCAAATTTATCCTCCGACATACTGCCGCTGGACTGACGCTTCCGGACCTGCTCCCCCGCGGATCAACAGAGGTGGATGCCGAGAAAGAAAACAACGTCTCTCGTCAGGACCCCGACACAAGCTAGGGCCGAGGGGTACCCCAGCAGTCCCCTTGGCTGATGAGGCTTTTGCATGATTTGTTCTCCTCCAGCTTAGGTTAGTGTATTATTGTAATTATGAATAAATATTTGTTTTACCCAGTGTGCTTTATTACTCCTTTTCATCAAAGAAGCGACAGGTTCCTCCAGCTTAGGTTATCATTCCAGCAAAAATTACTTTAAGACGCGTTTCCATCACGAATGAATTCCTCTGTACTACTATCTGTACAAAAGTATTTTTTACAACTTCAATTCATATGCCAGAATTAAATAACAGGAAAATGCTTACATAGCCTAAAGCCTAATACTGATGAAGATCTGGACAAATGGAAACTGGAAATGGATTTCAGACTAGCTCAGGCCTAGGGCAGGCGTAGTATTTAGCACCCACTGGTCCCCACATCCTCCCTCCTACACCTCCGACATGTGTGGGCGCTCTCACCCCCAGGGTGGGCCGGCGGCCCGGAGAGGAGTCCGGGCGGCTGTGCGCTCCGTGGATCCGGTGCCGCTGGACCAGTTCGTTGGCCGAGGGGTCGGTCCAGAAGTGATCCGAGGTCTTCAGTTTGGTGTACTCCAGAGCACAGGGACCCACTGGGGGACAAGAAAGGAAGATAAGGCACAGCTTTCATTCCAGCTCTGGGTGATTCCCTCCGCAGAGCAAAGAAAGGCAATTGTAAAAGTAAAAATACAGCGAATTATCACACATGCCTGGAATGCACTGAAAACGTAGCTGGAAGTTATTCTGAGCTAAGAGCCGTGCGAGCTGTCCTGCACAGCCAGCTTCAGGCCCAGAGAGCAGGGTCCCAGGATGCAGGACTGTCTGTCAGGAGCACAGTGCAGGCTGGGGTGAAGAGCCTGAGAACTGCAGAAGGGGCACTGACAGACCGGGACGCCCTGCGAAGCCCCCCGAGCAGCCGGAAGGCGATTAGACCGTGAATCACAGGCAGGTGAAAGGCTTTCTTCCGACTCTCACATCAATACAGTTACAGGATTAAGGAAGACTGATAAGTGGGTCTTAAACACAGCGGCTCCGATGCGCATGAATCTCGTTAGGGCAGCACTCAGCCTTCTCTGCTCTGGAACAAAGCGTCAGCGGATTGTCTGAGGACTCCAAGCGCCTTGCAAGACGCAAGATGCTGCATCACATATTGGATATGGGGCTTAAACAGCAGAGCATCTTAAGACCCCTGCCGCCCATGAAAAAGATTCACTGTGGCGGTGCTCCTGTCCAATTATGCCCCTAAACAACACAGCGTTAGGCTCATGAATTTCAAAATCACATTGCCCACCTCACCTATTAAATTCTGTATTTCACACAGTCATAGGCAACAGGGCACGACAGCTAGACACCAGGCCTGATAATAAACACTTTATGAGTCTGCTGGTTTCCATCTGCACCCCCCGGCAAGTTCTCTCAGCAGGGCCTCCACCAAGACATTGCAGACATGAGGCAGTTGGGGGAAAAAAAAACGTGACCGCTTAGCTACTACCGCCCCGAGAGCAAGCAACGTCTCGGTCAGTAAATAAACGAGGCCAAAAAATACGGGCTGTTAGATCTCTCTAACCATCACACCCATGTAGCACCCAGGTCACAGTTTATCAACGAGACCCCAGATTAAGGCCAAAAAACCCCAATTCAATCTCTAGCATAATCAAACTGTCCCCTTAGCTTCGCTGACTGACAGGCAACAACCTCACTCACCCCACATCAGTCCGCACATTAAAATGGTGCTGTGATCTGGTTCAAAGTGATTGATGTCTGTTACAAGCTAGAAGAGGCAAGTGGAACATGTGGAACAGTGGTTAAAGCTTTTAAACTGTAACCAGGACAGGAATTGGGGGGGTGGGGTTCAGGTGGGGCAGTGCTGCTGCATGCTTGAGCAATATACTCTACTCAGACTGCTTTAGTAAAATACCCACCTGGGGATGCTAAAGTCACTTAGGATGAACGCTCCAGTCAAACAAGCAAATAATAAGGTCTCAAAGTGCATGATGATACTGGGATGCCGAACGCCCTTCCAGGTCTTTCAAAAGCTTTCAGATTCCCCAAGGACAGAGGATGGGCTCCTGGGCTAGTTGGGTCTGGCGATTGTTTGGGAGCGGAGACTGTGACAGCAGTTCAAATCTGGGGTCGATCTTTGCAGGCTACAGCTTCACACAGTGGCACCTAGCTGAATCCTGGCTTCCATGGCCAAAAAGGAGGCCTGCCCACCCATACATCAGTTAACCCCAGCTATACATACATCATAAGGCCACCCTCATGCATTTAGCCCCCCTCCCCCACCCCGTACTGACAGAGCCCCTCCCACTTACCAAGTAAAGCAGCAAGAATGGGCCCAAAGACTGCATCATGCATCAGAGCCTCCTTCTCATAGTACTTACTGCAGAGACAGACCGCAAAGAGATCCTGTTTTAATCTGAAGCATTAACAGCAAGCACAGGTCGCCCCCAAAGACAAGCTCTCGAAAGAAGAAATTAAATTACACAGCAAGTCAACAAGTGGAGAAGGCGTGACAGTGATTAAGACCCACGAAAGAGCTGGTTTCAATAAGAGGCATTCACGGTTTGCATGAGATTCAATGCCTACAGGAATTTGGTTTGTAATTATTAAAACATACAGCATGCACAGGACCAATACAGAGGGGTGTTGTGGGAAGGGTAATTAGAGTCAGTGGAATGCAGAAAGTTTTTAGATTGCAACTCTAAGTGCTGCAGCACACAGTACAGTGCAGCGAGTTAGCAAAGAGCACAAGATTTTCAAACTGAATTAAATTACTCATAGCTGAAAATTGCATGGCGTGGTGGTGTGGTGCAGTCATTACCGCTGCTCTTGGGTCCTGGGTGGTGTTCTGGACTGGAGCACAGACTCTGTGGAGTCTGCATGTTATCTCTGAGTTTGTGAGGTTTCTTTGCCAGTTGCTCTGGTTTCCTCTCACCTTCCAGTGACATGCTGGCCAGGTTGACTGGTGGCTCTGGTGTTTGTGTGTGTGTGTGTGCGTGCCCCGTGACGGACTGGTATCCTATCTAGGGTGCACTGTGCGTTATTCTTTGGGACAGACCCCATGTGGCAGCAACCCCTTCCAGGAATAAGCGGTTTCTGGATGCAAGCTGAAACTAAAACGGCGCACCTGCAGTTGTCCACAATGTACTGCACGATCTTGTCCAGCACCTTCTCGAAGAGCGCCGTCCGCACCCAGATGTGTTTGATTGCCTGGGGGCTGAGGGGCTGTGGGGGCCGGCCCGCCGTTGAGCTCTGCCTCTTCAGACTCTCCGGGCTGCTGGACTGCGCCCTCCTGGGGGAAGAGGACCATGGTGAATACAGCAGGCTTGCCCAGCAGGCCTGCATGAATCAATCCTGCCACTAGGTGTCACTGTGACCACGAGGACTGCCGCCAGACACAATCCTCCAGTTTCCCCAAAGCTCATGTCCTGTCTCGGCCAAGGCCTGTCTCCCAAGCACAGTGAGAAACAGAAGCCACCCCCTCTGAAAGGGCAACCTGAAGAGCCTGCCTTATTTGTGAAGAAATAACTAAACCAAGAGCTGTCCTAAAATGAAGTGCATTACTGAGACTCTGCTCCTCTGTTACCTTTAAAGAGTCTTCTAATCAAACAAATGCTCTTTGAGGCTTCAAGTCCCCAGTTCTCCCGGAGAGCTGCCCAGACCGAAGGAAGAGCACTAGTCCCAGTCAGGAGGGAGTGACAGGGCCAGAACTTAGCTCCCATCCTGAAAGGTGCTTTTAAAAGGGTTTGCCGGGCTTTTGCACCACCTATGGTCTTAATTAACTAACAACTGGTTCAGCTGGACTAATTTGCGCTTTTCCCTCAAGATTGCATTGCAAGTGATGATTTAAAGCAACACTTAGAGGTGGCTACAAACCCAGGCGCATCACTGTCACCTCACAGGAGAGGAGTTCACACAGCAACGTCTGCAGATTCAAGAAGGATCTAGCAGGTGTGCCTAAGATCTATGGAACCAAATTCTGGCCTTGGACAAGTCAGACCAGAGGGTGGAATAAATCAGCAGATAATTAGGAACAGATTCATGAGTCTGTCTGGAAAGGAGAAAGGAAAGTGAGAGATTATAGGATGGGTTGCTGGAAATCAACATCCTGTTCCTGCCAACGACTGCATGTCAAGACACCCATCAGCAAGTCCAGTATTGACAGGACAGGAGAGTTCATCACTTGCTGGCCTCCAATAACGAGCTCTCCCTGCCCTCCCCCGCTCCCCCTCTCCTCTGTCATCCATCTCCATCGCAGCCTGGGGCTGATTTATCAGCCCAGTGTGAGCCTCAGGCTCCACATGGCACACAGAGACGGGAAGAGAAATGTTTTCATTTCGAGAGATATTTATATTTGTATTGATCGCCACCCCATCATCCCAGCCGTGCAGGACAGATGCGCGTGTTTGTGTAGTCAGAACCCTTTAACACCTCGGGGAAAAAGAGGAGGAGGAGGAGGGGCTGATGATGATCGGAGAGCGCACAGGCAGGCAACAGGAGCAGCGCAATACCGAAAGCACCACTTCAAACCATGCAGCTCGCCGCTGTGTTCAGGTTTCAGGTCCACTATAGAATAGAAGCTGCTTCATTACAAGGTAATGCTCTGGCACACAGTAGCTGTCTAACTGTGTGGCCCACTAAAATGACAGTGCATTTTGGGATCACTCTTGTACAACAGAAAGCATTCGGTCATGCCAAAAGGAAGATAGCAAAAAAGCCAGGCTTCTCAGGAAAAGTTTGGAGTGCATGATTTACAGAAGATCATTAAGCACAGTTCCAACATAGGTGAAAATCGCCGAAAGGATTATTTTGAACTTGGGGGAAAAAAGCAGAGATGTTCGCAGAAAGTTCCATCTTTTTCCCCCGCACCTTGGACCGCGAGCAGGATAGGATGATCCCATCTCTTACGATCTCAGCGGGGAGAGGAGACACAACATCGATACTGTAACGCTTACGGCCGACAGGCACTGTGTAAGAGCCAGCTTACCAGAGCAGGTGACATCGCCGCCCTTCCCTGTGATAGCAGGACTACAGCTACTGGGCTGTAGAGAGATCTCTCTTTAGCTCACCGAGCTGGGTCCCTGTTCAGTGACGCGGGAGTCCCGGGTTCGAGCCCCCAACGGTGCGGGGGCCGACATAATGCGGCAAGGGCGCCCACCTGAACCCCCGTTGCGTTACAATACAATCAATATCCTAAGCAAAAAAAAAACTTAAGTGGGGGGAAGGGGTTTGCTTTTTTGCGTTCCACACAGGAGAAAAAGCCAGAGCCGACCAAGTTTATTTGATTATTTTCCTCCAAATATTCTGTTTTTCCCAGATGGTGTCCAAGTCAGAGGCATCTGAATTGGAAACGGCCATAATAAAACACACGAGCCGGTTCCGGAGCCCTGTTCGTTTGGCGGCCCAGGGAGCTCCAGGTGCTGCCTCGGCGCCGGTCGGGCCACGGAGAGAGCAAGCGCGTCCCTTCCAGTGCCATTCGGCTAACCCAATTGAACACTAACCCCATCAAGCAAATTAGATCTCGTTTCCCATGCGGGATGGGAGCCGGGCCAAAGGTCTGAATTAAGTCATGCCACGTAATCGCATTTCAGATCTCGAGAGTGGTGAAAAAAAAAAACCCTAAACAGAATCAAACCATAAAATAGAATCAGTCATGACTGATTCACAAGGTTCCGAGTAATGTGTCCAGAGCAATTGTGGATCTGCTTTACTTGGTTATTTTTATAATATTTTTAATGCGTTTAGTCCCTTAATCTCCGAGATGTCGTTTTCAAAAGCCTGGGTTGGGGGGGGGTGGGGGGGAGGGAGACTCTGTGCTCGTAGGATGGGTGACATGATTACGTAGTCATGGCAACACATGTAACCAAGCAATGGAGCCCTCACTGAGAGGGAGAGAAAGAGAGACACACACACACACACCACGCAGGTTCATTCTGCTAAACAATGGCATTAATTAAGCGCTCCGTCTTGCAGTTAAGGAAAGCAGACCAGCGAGAAGCAAAACGACAAGCCCCAGATGTTGCCCCTTAAGCGAATTACTGGAGGCAGGATTCAGCGCGGCCTGTCGGGAGCAGATCCAGAGGAGGAAGAAGGAAAGAGAGTAATGTGCTCTCTCCTCTCTGGCAGCGCAGGGCTCTGGCCTGGTGGTGCCGGTGTGTGTAGTACCAACATGTCTGTCACTTAGCACAGCTCTGATGCACAGGGCTCCCATCTGGTACGACAAGAAGGGAAACACAGAACGTGCTTTCAGATGAAGGCCTTAGTCTATGGCCCGGGCCACACTGCGGACCTTAAGAGATCCTTATGGCAGTTTGTACAAGAGCAAGGCTGTTAACCCCACTGTCAGAGCAAATGCTCCCTGCCAGGGAGTAAATGGCATGACCGGATCGTGTGCCCGATACACAGCGATCCCTGTACAGCCACTGGGCGACGGAGCGCCCCCACCCACCCCACCATCTGTTTGTCATGCAGTCAGCTTTGCATGGAGAGCCGGTTCACTTTCTGCAGATCTTTTCGCTTTGGCAGCGGTGGTCTGATTGCACGTGCCGACGTCATGACAGCAGCAGGGGCAAAGGGGAGCAAGACGGAGGACACGGCGATGAGTAACCCCTTGCACGCGTACAGCGCCTTTCATCCCAATGGGGTTTTCAAAGTACTGCATGCACAGGAAGGGACTCGCTTCATCCAGGGCGGTTGGAAGCCATTCTGCACTGAGAAATGGCTTCACCAGCTGAATTAAGGGGAACTTTAAGATCAGACTGTTGACGCTTCAGTGGAAATTAGCCGAGACACCAGGGTTAATGGCATTACTCTTAAGAACAGGTTTCATCTCTGATTGAAAAGATGGCACCTCCTGCAGCACAGTGCGCCTGTAAACTGGGGTCCAGAGGGATTACTGTGCATCGGACACGTGATCCTGTCAGGGCACCTGCTGGCCTACTGGCCCGCCAGCACCATTAAGAGCAGAAATCTGGTTTCCCTTGTGCACGCGGCACTACCGGTTTGTTAAGATCGTCAGGGCGAATCTCTCTGACCTGCTGGCCTCCACCTGCTGCTGCTGCTGCTGCAGCTGCCCCTGCACCTTCCTGCACACCTCCGCCGTCGTGTCGTCCACCTTGCCGATCTTGGTGAACAGCGCCGCGACCTTGTCGCTGCGGAGGAAGCCGGCCGCTCGGCGCTTCAGCATGTGGAGGAGGCAGGCCTCCACTGTGCCTGGGAGAGAGAGAGAGAGAGGGGCAGGGGAGAGGTCAGACCCTGACTGGTGATGGAGATGTAATAATAATAATAATAATAATAATAATAATAATAATAATAATAATAATTGCTTACACTTATATAGCGCTTTTCTGGACACTCCACTCAAAGCGGAGGGGGAATGGGGGAAAGGACAGTCAGCTCCACAGGCCTGCACTGACCACACCTTGCACAAGCAGCATTGAACTTGGGTGAAGCAGTGCTGAGTAAAGGACCATAATGTCTCGGCAAGCAATCGCAACAGCCCATTCGCTCCCTCACCCTTGCCTACCAGCCATTCGACTGTGCGGCTTGGCTCCTTGTACGTTTACACAGAGGATCCGATTAAAAACCCAACCTGCCGCCGTCACCGGGTCTCCTTAGGGCTTCCACTCCTCTGGCACTGACCCTTCACATTTCAACCCTCCCTGAAAGGACAGCGCCCCCTCTCCAGCAGCCACGATCCCAGTACGCCCTTGAAGACAAGGGGGAAATAAAGGGTATCGGGCCCAGCAGAAGGGCAATAAGAAAGCCTCTGAATGCTACTGCGTGCCGAGGGAGACGGCTGACCGGTAAGGAAGAAGAGGTCCTGAATTACATTTGTTTTCTCCAAGTTACAATTTCCAACACTCTTCTGGTCATTCTGTCAGTCCGTAAGCAGCAGTGGGCTCTGTGATTTCCAACTGTCACCAAGGCAGGCTGCACTCTCCCAGCCCAGCGTTGTCCTGCACTGTGAAAAATGATATCGACAAGCAGCCCGCGGTTGGGCAAACATGACAACATAATCGAGTGCTTGGAAAAGCAATCTGAGTTTTATGGGCCTAATATGGGTTTTATTGCTGCTTGCAGCCGACTGAAACAGAGAGACTGAAATACGCTGGCCTCCGGCTCTCTCTGTAGTTGTGTGCATTTCTTTGCTAAAAGCAGCACTGAGGGTTTTTTTTTTTGTTTATAATACGCAAACAGTTGGAAAGCGGTTTGAACAATGTAGACTCAGTTTGGCAATCTTAAAACACCAAGTGTGTGAAAGCACTTCTTATACTCTTATTCAAATATTACACCTGGGTCCAATACAGACCCAGAGCAGACAGAGAGGAGTAAGGTAGTGTCGCATTGTAAAGAAAGAGGCTGGGCACAGTGCCAGTCCGAAATACTGGAAAATCTGCCCACTCTGCCCCAACACTCAGAACCCCCCCTACCAATTACCCAGTTACAGCCTGAGAGCCCTCTCTAAGGTGGACTGGGCAGCCCTGCCAGTTCACTATTATTCACCGATGACAAAGCAACTGGAAATGCCCTGTGCTGAGCACAGCAGTGTGAGCCGACGAAAGGCAGTGGATTAATACAAAGCTCAGACAATCTCACTGCTTCTCAGCAGCTAGGGTTGTGTGGACTGTTAAAAGCACAAGCCAAGCAGGTCTAAATGCTTCAGAGACCGCTGGCAAGTTATACATCAAACAGTTTATAGCATCGGCTCAGGGCATGTTAGGAGGGGAATGCCTCAGCAAAGAAAATGGGAGTTTTGCAAACACAGTGCCTGGTTCTCAAGGAAGAAAAAGAAGAGAAAAAAAAACTAAAAACTAAAACCGCATACAGAAAACAGGAGCTTGGGGACTCCGGAAAAAAAAATTAAGGAAAAGGAGGCTCTGGAGCTCCTCAATCCCATCAAAGCAGTTACACTAGCGAAACATTGCCTGCGTGCATTTCTCTCAAAAGCTGCAGAGGAACGCAGCTCGAGTTCACGTGAACGAGCTTTAGTGGTTTTAAGTTTTTAAAATAGCGGAGGGATATTTTAAACGGAACGAGATTGCTGAAATAAAATTGACTGGAAAAGGCCATCTTTTTTTTTTTCCCCTTTGGACCCGAGCATCACCAGAGCGACCCCTCAGGGAGAGGAGAGGCAGATTAGAACGGTGAGAAACGGGCTCATTAAGGAGTGTTTATGTGATCATTCAGCACCACGGAGGAGTGGAGACCCTCAGTCTAATAGATTGAGGTTAACTGCTCTGGGAAGAGTCGAACACTGTCAACTATCCCATGTCAACATGAATTATTAAAGCATACAAAAACTGAACGCAAATGATCTCTGAAGGAGTTATCAAGGTGTGATAACTGGGGCTCAGAAGTGCTGTTATAGGCAGCTTTCAAACAACTGGACGACTGTGGTACAGTTTGGTTTAAGGTATGGTTCAGACGATTGACCCACAGGCAGGCTTTTGATTTTCACACACCCCACACAACACAAGGAAGGAAAATTCCCTGCGAGTCCCTGTTCAAGTGAAGAGCGCATAGAAAGAACACTGAATCTCTCCCTCTCCCCTGTAGGTTCTAAGGATTTTAGCTCTTCTTTCCTGTAAGAACACAGTGTTTGATATTCTGGTCCACAAGAACCAGTCACAACTACTAGGTGTTATTCAGGGCTTGGCAGCACAAATATATGCAGAATTCTGAGCTCAAACAGCCATGACCTCTTCCTTTGGTGTACATAAAGGGCAACGCAGGCAGTGTAAATCCGACTGCAAACAGCTGTAGAAATACCATCCCCTCCCTCAGCGTACAGCCCACTCCAAAACCTCAAACAGCTGCTTCAGAGGAGAGAGCACATTCAGCCAGTCACAAAGGAGTAGCACTGCCCGGCTGTCATACAACAACGATAATATTTCCTTACACTTAGCACTTTTCTGGAGACTCCAGTCAAAGTGCTTTACAGGTAAGGGGTAGCCCCCACCTGGATGATGGGGCATCAGCTTTCAGTGAGGAGGAGAGCAGAGTGATGAAGCCAATTCATAGATGGAGATTATTAGGAGGCCATTGTTGGTAAAAAACAGGAAATAATTTAGCCAGAACCCTGGGGTAACACCTCCGTTTTTGTCCTCGAGAGGCGCACTGGGATTTTTAATGACTGTAGGGAGTTAGGACCCTAACTACTTGAGCACTAACTACTGGTCCCATTAACACCACTTCCAGCGGCAAATTTAGTTTTTCCCAGTAGGTCTCCCATCCAGGTACTGACCAGGCTCACACCTGCTGAGCTCCAGTGGGCGGCCAGTGATATAGCTGCTGTCTATGCATGAATACATTGGCTTTAGAGGGCAGCCTCAACTTCTGTTGAGCACATGGGGCCCACTCCCATCCAATGTCCATACATCTGCACACAAACACCAATGGATCTGGTAGGTCCTGACACAGACTCCTACGTGTAAGCCACTGTGATGGAGGGCAAAGCTACTGCAAGGAAAAACTGGACTACTCTAATATTCTTGTGGCACCACCACCTTGAGCAGGCCCGATCTTGTCTGATTTCAGAAGCTAAGCAGGGTCGGGCCTGGTTAGTACTTGGATGGGAGACCGCCTAGGAATACCAGGTGCTGTAAGCTCGGGGTGGAGCTGTGGCTCTGTGGCTGGAAGGTTTGCCGGTTCGTATCCCGCAGCCGGCAGAGGAATCCTACTCTGTTGGGCCCCTGAGCAAGGCCCTACACCCCAACTGCTACAGGGGCGCCGTATAAATAGCTGACCCTGTGCTCTGACCCCAAGCTTCTCTCCCTGTCTGTGTGTCTCATGGAGAGCAAGCTGGGGTCTGCGAAAAGACAAATTTTTAATACAAGAAATTGTATTTGGCCAATAAAATGATCTTATCTTATTAATAGTGCTTGTGTTCATACGCCAGGGCTGTACAAGTTAGGCAGAGTATTTTTTAGCAGCAACAGCAAGAGGCTCAGGCAGGAAGGCCTTGGGGTTTAGGTCACTCCGGTTCCATCTCATTGTCAAATCTCATTTGTGCTAATTAAGGAGCAAAGGAACTGCATTGGGTGAAATCGTACTGGCTACCTGCTGGGTTATTACAATAGAAAACAAACTAGAAATAACTCACAAAAGTAAAAGTGTAAGTATTACAATCCAAAGGATGACAAGGGAGTGACTGGTTAGGTATTCGACACCAGTTCCAGTAATCCACTGGCCCGTTTTCAGCTGGAGCTAAAAGACTGACTGAGCTTTACAGGTGTGTTTAAGACTCACCAGCTAAAACAGAAATAATTGCTCAACAAGCAGCCAGACCTAGTTCTGGCTTGGGACCTGACGGGTGTACTCGGTCTTTGAAGCGTTGCGGTAATTGGCATTAATGAATTTCATTGCAGGGACTTGCTGTCAGAAAATCCGGGGGTGAGAGAGGAGATCCTGCTTTCTGATTCATTCCTCCCACCCCCGAGCTGGGAACCCTCTGCGCCCCAGTGGAGATAAGACTCGGAGGAAGAGCTTTGCAGTTTTCATCTTTTTTTCCCCTGAAGTGTTTGGAGCCCAGACTTCCGAGGAGAAGAGCTGCCCTCTGGAGGGTTGTGCTGTTCTCTAGCTGCAGATCCGAACAGTAATGAAAGCTGAGGAGCCCCGACTTACAGGAAAACCGGTTAGGAGCAGCAAAAGAAATTGAAAGCAGATGTTAATTCCTCTTGGGCGACACAATAGATTCCCCAAAGTCTTGCTTTGCATTGGGCACAGGGCTACTGCATTCTTGAAGACTGTAGATTACCCCCAGTGCTGCAAAGAGGCTCTATACTGTAGATGAGGACTGGCACTGCCTGGGGGGAGTAAATAAACTCCCAGACAGGCAGGAGGAACCAGGCTATTAAAGTGTCTTTTTTAAAGGAGGAAGGATCAGTGGGAGCATATCGGCTCTTCCCGGCATCAAGCTGACATGAAACAAAAGACTTTTGTAATTAAAAGAGAGGAGAGGAAGTGAGCGGCAGGGGAGAAAGGGGGGAAGTTCAACGGAAGAGGAGAGGGGGGGAAGGAGGAAGAGGAGGAGGAAAAGCCGAAAAAAGGTGACAAAATGAGAGAAAGAAGCTGCAGATAGAGGTCAGAGGAGCCAAAAGGGGAGGAGAGGCAGAAATAAAATCTTCTTTTATGTTCAAGTGCAATGTGCTGGGCTGCAGTGCACAATGAAAAATGACCGCTCCAGCTCTCCACTTCCTCCCAGCTGACCT